AGGAGACTGAGAGGGAGAGATGGGGGGAAGGAGACTGAGAGGGAGAGATGGGGGGAAGGAGACTGAGAGGGAGAGATGGGGGGAAGGAGACTGAGGGAGAGAGATGGGGGGGAAGGAGACTGAGGGAGAGATGGGGGGAAGGAGACTGAGGGAGAGATGGGGGAGAAAACTGAGTGTGGGATGGGAGAAAAAAAATGAGGGAGGGATAGGGGGAAAGAAAACAGGGGGGGTGGGATGACATACACACAGCACCCCTGCCCTACACATATCATCCCACAAAAAGACACACACACACATCACCCCACACACACACCACCCCCCCACACACAAACACACCACCCCACACACATCACCCCACCCACACACATCACCCCACCCACACACACATCACTCCACACACAAACACATACACTGTACCCCTCAATGCAGTGTGTGTACACTCAGCAGTCTGTCTGTGTGTGTACACTCAGCAGTCTGTCTGTGTGTGTACACTCAGCAGTCTGTGTGTGTACACTCAGCAGTCTGTGTGTGTGTGTACACTCAGCAGTCTGTGTGTGTGTCTGTCTGTGTGTGTGTACTCAGCAGTCTGTCTGTGTGTGTGTGTATTTAGCAGTCTGTGTGTGTATTCAGCAGACTGTGTACTCAGCAGTCTGTGTGTGTATTCAGCAGTCTGCTAAATACAGACAGACTGCTAAGTACACAGACAGACTGCTAAATGCTAAATACACATACAGACAGACTGCCGAGCACACACACAAACTGCTTAATACACACACAGAGATGTTAATTAGTTCGGACAACTGTATGAGTTGTTTTTTCTAAACTTAAACCTCAGTATTCAGGTTTAAATGCCGTTTTGGCACTTTGAGGGAAAAGAATTGCCATGTATTACGGTTTGGGCACTTGGGCTCAAAAAGGTTCGCCATCACTGTCCTTATCCATTACATAGTTACATAGGCTGAAAAGAGACATGTGTCCATCAAGTTCAGCCTTCCTTACATTTGTTTTTGCTGTTGATCCAAAAGAAGGCAAAGAAAGTGCTTCCAATTTTGCAACAAACAAAAAAAATTCCCTCTTGACCCTTGAATGGCAGTCAGATTAATCCTTGGATCATTTACCTTACATTGAAAAATTATATCCTTCAATATTCTATTTTTGCAAGTATGCATCTAGTTTCTGTTTAAACATCTGTACGGACTCTGATAAAACCACTTCTTCAGGCAGAGAATTCCATATCCTTATTGTTCTTACGGTAAAAAACCCTTTCCTTTGCCTTAGACTAAATCTTCTTTTTTCCAGTCTAAACGCATGACCTTGTGTCCTGTGTAAAGTTTTGTTTGTGAATAGATTTCCACACACAGGTTTGTATTGGCCACGAATATATTTGTATAATGTTATCATATCCCCTCTGAGGCGACGTTTTTCTAAACTAAAAAGGTTCAAATTTGTTAACCTTTCTTCATAGCTAAAATGTTCCATTCCATTTATTAATTTTGTAGCCTGCCTCTGCACCCTTTGTAATGCAATAATACCCTTCTTTAGAACAGGTGCCCAAAATTGCACAGCATATTCAAGATGTGGTCTTACCAGCAATTTATAAAGAGGCAAAATGATATTATCATCCCGAGAATTAATGCCATTTTTACCGGCCTTAGCCCCTGCTGATTGACATTGCACATTATTGCATAGTTTGTTGTCTATAACAATTCCCAAGTCCTTCTCGTGTGTGGTTATCTCTAATTTGCTTCCATTAAGTGTATAAGTTGCTTGTGCATTCTTGATGCCGAAGTGCATAACTTTGCATTTTTCTACATTAAATTTCATCTGCCATTTGAGTGCCCAGTCTATCTAAATCCCTCTGCAGCAAAGTAATATCTTGCTCGCATTGTATTACTTTACAGAGTTTTGTGTCATCTGCAAACACTGAAACATGATGTTCAATGCTCTTTTCAAGATCATTTATAAACATGTTAAATAGAAGGGGTCCCAAAACAGAACCCTGAGGGACACCACTTGCCACCTCTGTCCAGCTTGAAAATTTACCATTAATGACAACTCTCTGTACTCTATTTTTAAGCCAATGTTCTACCCAAGAACAAGAATTTTCATCTAGACCAATTTCTTTGAGTTTGAACATTAATCTATTGTGTGGAACTGTATCAAACGCCTTGGAAAAATCCTAGTAGATCACATCCACTGCAGTACCCTAATCTATACTTCTTCTAACTTGTTTGTAGAATGCAATTAAGTTAGTTTGACATGACCTGTGCTTCATAAAACCATGCTGATTTTTGCTGATAATTATATTCTTCTCAAGGAATTCTTGAATATTATCCCTTAATAACCTTTCAAATACTTTCCGAGTCACAGAAGTTAAGCTCACAGGCCTATAATTTCCAGGCAAGGATTTCGAACCTTTTTTGAATGTAGGAACCATATCAGCCTTTCTCTAATCCAGCAGAACACTTCCTGCAAGACAAGAATCTTGAAAGATTAAAAACAAAAGTTCACATATTTCCACACTTAGTTCCTTAAGTACTCGTGGTTGAATACCGTCAGGCCCTGGAGCTTTGTTTATATTAACTTTCTTTAGTTGCTGCAGCGCCTTGTCTTGAGTTAAATTACAATTACAATTATTTTGCTTGTTTTTTGCAGCAATCATTTGCATATCTATTGCCATAGGTTCTTCCTTAATATATACGGAGGAGAAATAGTTATTTAAAATTTAACTAACACCCCCATCCTGGTTTTTATTATACCTACACTTCTATTTTTATTTTATTTTTTAGAATTTATGTAATTAAAAAACACTTTGTGGCTGGTTATGCTCTCTTTTGGCTATAATTTTTTCATTTTGAAGTTTAGCAAATTTAAATGCCTTTTTGCACACATTATTGGCTTCCTTATATCTTTTACAGAGGATGCCTCTGATTTGTCCGATTTAAAGGCTTTGAATGCCCTTTTCTTATTTTCAATTTCTTAATTCATTGCACACAGGATATGGAAGTCCTGATGTGCATTTTGCCACACCACCGGGCTCCTCAAGGGGAAACGATCAAATGCTGCCAGAGGTTTTTAAATAGGGGAAAATATTCCATTGCGTTTTCTCTGGCATCCAATAGAAATCCTGCTTCATAATCCTTGGGACAGGTTGAATGATCGTCATAGGGGGTGTAGTAAGAACCACTCCCCTTATGTCAACGGGGTAGATCTTTTAAGTAGTTTTCAGGTCAAACAAAAAAAGAAAAGTGAAGCCATTAATGGATATGGAGTTATAGTTATCTTTAATATGCGACTTGATAACTGAAACACATTTCCCCTAAATTCTGTCACTTCCATGCATGTCCACCACATATAGTAAAATGATGCTTGTTCAGTACACATTTTATAGATTGCGATGGGATGGGATGCAGCACCTTCAATTACATTTTTGACACTACCTAACTCAGTGATAGAGGTTTATTGAACTTGTAAGGAATGCAGTCTAAGATGAAGCAAACTCGCAACTCTGACGTATTACAGTTAAAGCATTAACTATCTAAGCTATCTCACTACATATAAATATAATTTACCAGATTGTATTGCTGTTCTTCAAGGGAAAAAATTGTTTTATAGTTGCTCAATGAAGTCCCCCGTTTAGATATGCTGTATAAAACATTTTATCAGATCTAATAACAGGCAATAATATGTAAAACATAAAAAAATGTGGATTATGAAAATAAGTATGGGTGAGCATACATACCTCTCCTAAAATCACAAACAATTACTTTCTAGAGTTTTTTTTAATGTTTGTGTAAATGCAAACCTAATTTATCTACTACATTATGCTCCAAGCTTGAGGCACTCTTGAGTTCCTCTTAAATGGCTTAAAAGACAGTTTTGCTTTGTGTCACACTATGAATGGAGGTTTCATCAGGTCTATTCTTAATTCATGATGGTCCAGGATAGATGTATTAGGAAAGTGATCTGTATAACATTATATTCAGAAAACCTTTTTCTAAAGACTCTGTGCTTTCCCTTTTTCTTCAGCAGCACAAGCTGAGCGTGTTCTACCTGTGATATTAGGTTTCTCTCTGTATGTTCAACTGACTTATGTAACTGCTTTAATTGCACTGTTTTTCGGGCTGCTGACATTGTTTATCTTAGTGCTCTCTAATAGGGATTAACTCATTACCAGTGTTGACCTTGAAACACATGTAATTATTTGAGAAACAAGTTCATGCATGCAATCCTGTACACCCAGAAAAAATGTGCCTTGGTTGAGTCAGGACTGATGTTTACTACATATGAGCCTTGACTGACAGTGATATCTTTGCGATTGTGTCTTTCAGTTGTCACAGCATGGAGTCCCATCACTGTTTTGGCCTGTCTGAGAGCAAGTATAACGATGCAGTGCAGTTTTACAAACAGCGCAACCAAGGAAGAAATACAGATGGGGATAAAATAGTGTGTGAGAAAGAAGATTCACAGTCAGACATCTCATCTGTTTCAATCACATCAGTTGATTCAGAACCAGAGAGTCAAATTGATAAATAAAGCTGCATTCACTGTAAACACTGCAACAAAAACACTGTGTTCATAGCACAAGTAATGCATTGTCAATAACTGTTATTTAATGTCTGAATAAATATGGCCTTTTTTGCAAACAGAAACTGTGCAAGCTCTAGCTATTCCCAAACCAATGAAAGCATTTACTTTGTAAATGTTAACCATCTTACATTTAAATAATGTATTTATAATGGTATTTTAAAAGTTGGCATTTACAGTTTGACTTCCCAGTTTCTGCTGTCATATCCCATTTAGCTCTAGGGAAAGCTGCTGGGCACATTGCCTAGTGATATAAATATTTGTGCACCTCTTTTCGTCCATTTGAAACTCAGGGTCTAAAACAAGCAGTAGTATCCAATCAGCCAAAATGATGGGATACAATGGGCTCTGCTTTATTTTTAATTTCACAATGAATACTTTACTGTCCTGCCCGCCTTGTTATTCCCTACATATGCTATTTAGTCACCCAATTTGTCCTATAATTCTGTGTGTGTTTTTATCCCTTATAATTATTAAATTATATATGTAATTTTACATTATTTCTCATTCAATCCTATCCACGAACGCAATATGTGCCATTTCCTTTCAAACGTGTAATTTCATCTTCGTATATTTTATTGCTTATATACTATTTCACTCCTTTCACTACATTTAATTCTGTGTGTGCCTTTGCACCCCATATGTCTTCGTATACCATGTCTACATTCATCTAATTTGTTACATTTTATTCCATTGTGCCATTTCACCATCCCTCACCATCACCATCACAGCATATGTACCATTTAGTCCCATTTTCTATTGTATATTGTATCTGGATTTGTTGTGCCTCATATCCAACATTGTTTCATATAAAACATTTTATTATATTTGCCTCATTGTGCCATATATATACTAGTTAAACTTCTTGATATATTTAATCATACTTTTTCTATGATTGCCATTATTCCTCCAAATCTCTCATTGAACTGCACAATTCATTTACTCCTTTGTATGTGCTGTTTTAACTTGTGTATGCCAATTCAACCCATATGTAATTTTAACACTTTGGGTAATAGTAATTCCTTAGTAAGGCTTCTCGTAACATGTATATCTTTCCTACTAGGATAAGGATGGGAGTAGAAATCACCAGTAAAGTGGGTTTATTTCAGAAAAAATAAGAAATACTGTTTTTTCATTTTATAAATTAAAGGGACACTTAAAGTACATAGTGGCTATGCTGCCTAGAATGTTGTTGTGCCCTCCCCCAGTTGGTTAGATTAGCTATCTCAGCCAATCAGTATTGTCCTAGTACGACAAAATTGATAAATTTAAAGTGCTAATTCCGAAGTTCTAGCTTATGTCAAACTATTACTATTAAACCAAAGGGATGGTGCCATGACATTTTAGGCAACATCACCACTGCAGAGTGCTGTAGCAGTTTTGTTGCTTACATTGCCCCTTTAAAGGTACACTATGGGCACCAAGACCACATTATCTTATTGTAGTGGTCTAATGGGCTTAAGTGACACACCGTACATGCACATTAGACCCTCCTCCCCTCCCCTGTCAGATGACATTGGAGGAGGCAGAGCGCCAACCCAGCGCCCATGGATATCGGTGCTGGAGTCAAGTAAGTAAATAAAAGGTTTTTAACCCTTTATGTTCCATGGATATGACGGGTGGCAGATGACACAATAGTGTAAGGAATAGAGATTTGTATTCCTAACACTATAAAATCCCTTTAAATATGAACATGTTCATATTTTTGTACACTTTATCTTTAAGTTCAACAAAAACTAAATAAATTCAAATATGTTTGCTTACACCTGTACTTGTTTGTTCTTTGCAATTGTAATTACAAATGGGTCAATATATAATATCTGTGTATAAAATATGCAGTTATTGTGATATTTATTTAAAGATTAAGCAAGACTCCGTCTGAAATACTCGTTCGTATGGGGGATCTAAAGTAGGGAGAAGTTGGGGATGGAAAGTTATGTCTTCTCTTTGGGGCCCCATCACACACAGGAACAGAGCAGGAAACCTGTCTTATGTAGATCTGTTGTCCAAATTACATTGGAAATTCTGCTTGTTTGTGTGAATTGGGAGACATTGTATTAGGACTCTGCATGTGGGTGGAATACATCCCCACCCAATATACTGGGCACTGTATATTGGGTGGGGATGGTTAGGGGGTGATGAATTAAGGAAACATGTTAGTGGGGTATAATTAATTGGGGAACTATGGCATTGTGAGCTCAGTGGGAAAATATAGTAATAGAGGGCAATCTTTTAGGCAATATAACGATTTGCAATTAATTGGAGGCTGGGTATATGAATCTGAGATGAAGAGAAGGAAAAGCAATAAAAGGAGGTCTTAACTATAGATGTGACCAGAGGGGCAAGTGAAACATTAATGGGTGCTTAGGAGAGTTACCTTTTATATTGCAATGTGTGTAGCAAGTGCTTTGTGGTATAACTTTAGGAAGTGACACTTTAGTGGGCAGAGTGGGTGCACTGTTTTGACACTGGACCCAGGCAGTTCAATGTATTGGGCCAGGCCTGCAATTTCTGTCCAATCTCTGAGGTCCCCAAGCTCAGATAGTGTATCTACTATCCAATATGCAGACATGCAGTAGTACGCACCAGCTTGTTTCATGCCTTTGCTTTAATGGATATTATGCTCCTGCCCATTCTCAACGATATCCAGTAGTCCCAAAACTTCACCTACACATTCAATCCCCACCAGATTCCACTCGATTCACAGCTATTCTCCATCATACTGTGTACTTGTGGTTGTAAGGCCCTGATTTCTAACGCTGGGAGATACCCAGCCTTTGCATTATCTGTTAAACGCCAGACAGTCTTCGGTATCAATTGCAGAATACAAAGATTGAAAAGGAATAGTAAATATCTGGTTTGCAATAAAGATAAAACAAACTTTACTGGCCAATTGAAAGAGTCCAGGGAATTCAAAAGATACAATGGAGCACATAACAGAAATGTAGCCAGACGACATATGAAAGTGACACTACACAATTGCATTAACATTAACATAAACATAACATAACAAACGGATGGATGGAAATGTAGGCGAATTTGAGAGAATGGAACCAGCTGATCATAAAACACAACATAGCAGGAGCAGTGAGAACAAGACAGCCAAGTAAAAATGCCTACTAATTATGCGTACCCAATTTGAGAGTTATAGGAGTTTTTAACCATAGCAGGAGTGATGAATTCAGCATTCAAGGAAATATTACTACATGGCATATGATTTATATGTAAATAGTATATTAAAATCTTCCAGCTTACATAATCTATCATTAATACTGACATTTCAGTATGTATATAAGACCCTTAGGTCGAAATGTCGATCATCATTGTAACATTTAAATACACTTTGTTACTTTGAAAATCCTCTGAGTGCTCTCATCTTCATTATTTATCTTCATATATTTAGCGAAGAGCAGCAGCTTGGTGTAAGTTTTTTCTACTACTTTAGGACAGTGCCAGACTTATTGCTTTATATATATATTTGTGCCCATGTACACTATGTCTACTAATGAGAGATTTAAAAAAATGTAAACCCTAAATTGCAAATACTTTATTGTAAAATGTGCCGCCTGACCGAGAACCAAGATGGCCGCATAAGGCACCAGCTCCTGCGACCCAGGTCCTAAAAAATACAAGAAGTGAGACCTACTGCTGTCAGTGGCCTCTCTGTTCCGCTCCCCTTTTGACCCGGTGCCATCTTTAGCACAGAGGACCTCTGACTCCGAGCGCAGTGAGGCCTCAGCATCACAGACAAAGCACGATCTCAAGCACCTACACCACGAGGCTGCAGACATTAAGCAGCTCATCGTGGCAGAACTTAAAAAAAACGCTCCAAGACCTGAAAGAAGAAACTGCCAATCTGGGAGAGCGCACAGGCCTGGTGGAGCAGCGAGCAGACGACCTTCTGGACACAGTCACCACGCATGAAGCTTCCCTGACAGCTCTGAAATCCTGCATCGACATGCTAGAAAATGGTATAGAAGACCTCAACAACCATTCCAGGCGCAATAACATCAGAATTAGAGGCCTGCCAAAGACGGTCACCGGAAATATGCTCCTGTTTCTCTCCCTCCTCCCTGACACGGCACCTCAGGAGCTGGCGGTAGACAAGACCCAAGGAGCCCTGAAATCTTCTAACCCTTACTTAAACGGTGCCAAAATTTGACCCTGCCACACTAATTTCTACCAGGACTTGTCGCCTGTCACACTGGCCAAGCGTCAGGACCTTAAGCCACTCACCACCGCTCTGACCCAAGGCAGACTAGCGCACAGATGGGGACACCTATTTAAGCTCCTAGTCCGCAAGGCCAACACCACTAATGTCCTCCAGGACACCACCAAGATTGCAACTTTCGCGGCAACAGTAGGCCTGGCACTGCCCGAAACTCCCGCCGCAGCTCCAAGCACCACAGCAAAACTCAAATCAGCACTAACACCCCTGTGGGAGATGCCTCTAATTCCTCAGAACTGCTCCAAGAATAGACAGCAACAAGCAACACCAGGAGCAAGAGCAAAGGTTCCGTTAACACGTGGACATGGTTTCTCCACAATCCAGGCACTTAAACCTGCTTTCAGGGACAAACTACTCTGACCCACTACTCTGCAGGACTACTACTCACCCCTTTTCCCAAGTTATTGCAAGTTTAAAACCTGTTTAATGTTATAGATCACCTTAGGGTTGCAGTTATGGTATTGCTAAACTTTAAGGGGCACTACGCAGTGGGAAGAGCAGGGGCACCCACTAAGCTGGATACCACCGAGCAGCTCCCCAAGCTTCACTACATAGTCACCGGGACAGAGGGGGAGAAGGGGAGGGAAGCATAGTCAGGGTCTAGCCTGCAGGACACAAATAACACGAAGGAGGATGGACACAAAAATTAGGAGGGATGCAGAAGGAGGATATACCTTATTGAAATGCCCCAAATGAACAAGGTTACCTTTATATCAGACAAGTAATTTATATTTTCCTTTTTATTATAAAAAAAAACAAAAAAAACACAAAGCAGCGGGAACTGGGGGGAGGAAGAGGGGAAACTATACTAAGCCATATGGTATTGCATGTGCATGTATCTATGAATGTAAAGGTATATCAATATGTGCAGTCCATTGCCGCCACTGATACCCCCATGCCACCCCAGTCCCCACCCAAACGTACACACAACCCTGCACCCCCACTCCCACCAAAGAACAGCACGGCTGACTCCTGTCCCAAACCCCCTGGCCCAAAGGCAACCACGACCCCCTACAGGGGGCAAATGGTGATCCCATGACACCACGGCATCTGAAGGACACCTAACAACAACAGGGGGAGGACCCCGCTACCACCACTTACGACCGTGCTCTGGTCACGTTCTAACATTCATGCACCTGGGGCTGGAAGCAGCCTAGGAACAACCTCCAACAAGTCCCACAAAATCTGGGACCACAGGTCCTATACAGGACATACCTGTATTCCTACTCTCACTAAGCCTGGCACAGGTTATAAGCCCAGGCAGTTTTTTTGACTTGGTTTACTTTTCTGATACCATGATTTCTCTAATCTATCCCTCACAGGGCACAGGGACTGGAGACCTAAGAAATTGTTGGATCTCTCTCTTGTGCTAAAGATATTTCTGTTCTGCCATGAGATTTTGTCTCTCTGCCTCTCCCCACACACACAATCCACCAACAACCACTACAATGCCTGCTAGCTTAACCTGTATTTCGATCAATTACAAAACAAATGTTCGACGAGAATTTTAAAAAGGGACACACTTTTAGCCCGCAGACAGCGCAAACGCACCCAATCCAAACAAATTACCAGCATCCATACACACTTGGGACAACCCCACTAAAATTGCAGAAGTTTTCCAAAGGTACTTTGCTGACTTCTATGATCACTCCCCCCCCAACACCGACAACTAGGCACTGACCTGCAAGACCAAATCAACTCCTTTCTAGATAAGATACACTTACCCTCACTCTCAGATGAGGCATCAACGCACCTATCTGCCAAAATCACTGACGAAGAAGTGACAGGAACAATAGGCACCACGAAACCCAACAAAAGCCCAGGTCCGGATGAATACTCGGGCATCTATTAGAAAACATTTCAAGATATTCTTACACCCCACCTAAGACACCTCTACAACATCATTCAAAGGGATGACCTGGGACCTGATGAAATGCTTGCAGCAAATATCTGCCTCCTACCCAAACCCGACAAGCCTCACACAGACTCATCTCACTACTGAATGTAGACATGGAAATATTTACCAAAATCGTCACTAACTGCCTCCTCCCCTACATTACCACTCTAATCCACCCAGACCAGGTGGGTTTCATCCTGTCCCGCCAAGCAAGCAACAATACCAGCCAGATACTAGACCTGATATGTGTGGTCAACCATTGCACTACTCCAACCTTGCTCCTATCCCTCGATGCTGAAAAGGCATTTGACGACTACTCTGGCCATTTTTATTCGCTACAAAATGATAAGTCCTGCGCTCACTCCCATCACTCCTGGGCGGCAGCACCAACCACAGTACACATCAGAATTTTTATTTGCTATCCTATAGAAATTTTGATTTCCTGTCCCCTTCATAGCAGCCCTCAGAACCATGTACTCCACACCTACTGCCAAACTACTGAT